GTGCTCCAGAGGCCTTGGGTTTCCTTGCAGCTGGGCTACAGGGGCCTTTCCCCACCAGCCGTCTCTCACTTTGACCCCACCAGGTCTGTGAGGCCACCCAGGCCGCCTTCCTGTGTTGTTAGGCTGGGGAGCTCCATGTCACTTCTCTTTCTTCCCTTTTGTGAGCTCTCTGGGGTTTGGCCAGACTCAGTGTGAGTGGCCCCTCCCAAGCTGTCGGGTTGGAGGAGGTGACATATGTGGTGCATCCTTCTCTGGGTCTCCCGTTGAGGAGCTGAGCCACCGGGCATGGTGGTCACTCACCCCAGAGGCTGGTCCTTTGCTGCCGTTGGCATCCCTGTGGCCAGGACCTCCTTGGCCTGTGCTGTGCCTCCTGGACACTCAGTAGTCAGCCTTACCAGTGCAGTGACGTTAGCCAAGAGTGCGGGTGACAGGTGCTCCGTGTGTTGGCCACCGGTGTTGTGTTGCTCCCACGGCGGCGGGGAAGGTGTTCACATGGGCACAAGGTGAAAGTCATATAGAAAAAGCGGATGGCGTGGAGAGTGCATTCCCAAGCAATGCCCCGCCAGTACCTCCATGAGGACAGTTCGGACTTCTAGAGAGGTCACAGGAAGATGCTTCCAGGTGCCACCCTCCTGGTGCAGGGCTAGGAAGCCTGAGACACAGGCATCCTCACTCCCCACTGCGGAGCTGGCAGTGACCAGCGCTGACAAGTGAGACTTGTTCTGCGAGGGGCTGCCTCTGCTCAGTGCAGATTTGCTCACACGACAGCTGAGTCCTGGATTAAAGTGGCTGGCGCGGGCCCAGCATGCTGGAGGATGTTTGCCGATGGTGCGTGAGGATAAGAAGGTGGCGACACTATTGCCTTGCTGACGAGGTGCTGAGCACTTCAGTGACTGCCCAGCTGCCATGGCCGTCTGGAGGCAGAAAGGAAGTGTGGGCTCCTGCTTCCTCCCTTCTGCCTGTCTCTGCCTGCTGTGGTGACCCAGGCCCCAAAGCTCCTCTCAGGTGGTTGTCACCTAGGGTGTTGGATGACAGGTGCTTTGTTCTGGATGCCACAACTCCAAAGGAGGACAGGGGCGGCCCATGTGCAGAGACCTTGGGGTCATAGCTGATACTTGGTGAGGCTGGCCGTGCAGAGCCTGCAGCAGCGCAGATGAAGTTCTGCGTTAGGGCTAGGAGATCCCAGAGAGCACGTGTCTGCTGTGGGTGAATGGCAGGGGCCACAAGAAGACTCAAGACAGCACCATGTGGCTCCTTACCTCAGCCAGGCTGGCCCCTCACTCCCTTTTGAAGAGGAATAGTAGGTTCAAGAAGCCAGGACTTGAGGCCAGGGCATATGGGTAGGACGGCTTCCCATCACCACTCCAAAAAAAGTCGGCCCAGAGCCAGGCTTCTTCCTGGAGTGACTTGGAGCCTTGAAGTTCACCATACTGGGTACAGGTGTGACTTGGGAGTTTGATAAGGGCCAGATGTGAGTGCTGTGGCCATCAGGATCCTCCCCAGCTCCTTTCTGATCACTGACATCATCCCCCTGCAGCTGCCTGTCCTGTGTGCTGAGAGAACTCCTCTCCTGGGGACACGGGAATAGCATCTACCCCTTCCACACAGATGAAGGTCCCAGTTACAAACCAGAGTAGGGCCAAGTGTGTGAGCCCAAAGCAGCTTCCCCAGCCTGTGACCTCTATCCCTTCCAGAAACCGAAGCCCATGGTCATTTAGGGCAGAATTGGCATGCAAAGCTGAGAGGAAGGGCCTGTGTCTCAGGGGAGGGTCCAGTGACCTTACAGCCTCCTGGGCAGTGTGTCATTTGGTGAGTGTACTCGTGGTGTCTGAGATACCATGAAGCCAGCTGCTGTTTTGCTGGGAACTTGTAACAGCTGTGAAGCTGTGTGTGGAGTGGAGGGTTCAGGGCTCACTCCTGTCCCCCAGCCTTGGGATTCCTGGTGTGCCTGCACCCTCTTCTCCTGCCTTAGCCTCTGCTATACTCTCCTGTGGAGGTGTTTTTTAGTGCTCTATCTGCATGTATGCCTGCACACCAGAGGAGGGCATCAGATCCCATTATAGATGATTGTGAACCACCATGTGGTTGCTGGGAATTGAACTCAAGATTCCAGTGCTCTTAACTGCTGAGCCATCTCTTCAGCCCCTTATTTCTGTTTTTTAAAGAGATGTTTTAATTATGTGTGTGGATTTGTGCACGTGACTACAGAGTTGTTAGAGGCCAGAAGAGGGTGGTGGGTCCTCTGGCATGAGCCACCTGATACGGGTGCTGGGAACCAAACCCCGGTCCTCAAGAGCAGGAACTACGCCTGCCTCTCAGTAGCTCTCCAGTACCTTCTGTTTTCATTTGTACTCAGGACACCCTTCAGTGTGTAGTTCCTATGTGTGCCAACAAGCCTCTTACCCACTCAGCCATCTTGAGAACTAGCCCTGTTTGTTTTTAAGGTGGTCTCGTGTATCCTGTAGCCCAGGCTGGTCGTGAACTTCTGATCCTCCTGCCTCTGCCTCCCAAGAGCTAGTTAGGAGTGCAGGTGTGTGCGCCACCACGTGTGGTTTTGTGCATGCTAGGTGGGTGTTGTATTCGTGGAGCTACATGTCCTGCCGGGAGTGGGTGGATTAGGTGTCTGTCATACCTGGGGCCTTGGTAAGGACAGTCTGGATGGTTCCAAGTCAGAACCATGCCAGGGCGAGTCTGATGTGCATTGATGTCACCTGCCTGAGTGCTTCCAAGTGCTGCTGTCCCCAGCTGAGCGTGCCTCTGAGCTCCTTGTAGTTGTAGCTTATCTGATGGCTCTCCCTGCCTCAGCCCTGCCAGGCGCTGTCTTTATGTCCACCAGATTCCTGGAGAGGCCTGGCCTTCTTGCTGACCTGACACATGTACCTAGGGAACGCATGCTTGTTGGTACTGAGGGACTGGTGGGGCCGCGTTTCTAGGGGCAGGTGGCAGGGGCAGGCTGGCTTCAGCAGCAGCAGGTACCATTATTGGCCTGACAACATCTGAGGCCTGCTGGCCACACACATAGCCTAGGGACTGGAGAGCCAGCCCTCTGCATTATAACTGCCCTGCTCCAAGGTCCTAGCTAGTGACGGGTGGCCAGGCAGCCCTAGAAGGAGAGTGTCTTCTCATAGCCCCAGCCATGCACTCGTGAGCAGTCTCCTGGGCCCAGGCGCTGTCCTCAGCAAGCCTGGAGTGAGGGTGGCTTGAAAGGGACCAAGATGGCCAAGTGCTGGCTCACTGGTGCTGGGTGCAGAGGCGGAGCTGGGGCCGGGCTTTGGCCTAGCTGCCTAGCTGGATCACAGAGGTGCCGACAGGGCTCCAGAGACCTGGCACACACTCCTGGTGAGCTGCTCCTCTGCCCAGCCTCCCGCCTCCCCCGCTGTCATTTGTGCTGGCTGTGGCTACAGAGTGTGAGCCTGACTGGAAAGAATGCCATTTGAGCTTCAACTTGGGCTATAAGGCAGATATCCCGACATGAATGGTCACAGGAGTACTGGGGACTGAGGTAGCGAGAATGTCACCTGTTAGCAGTCTGCCTGCTTAGGATCTGTGGTCCCAGAGTCTAGCCCAGTGGTGTCCTGTGTTGCGGATGGTATCTTGTCCCACCAGGTCCCGCCGCCCTTCTCAGCCCCAAATAAGCACACAGACGCTATATTATTAAACTGTTGGCCAGTGACTAGGGCTTCTTATTGGCTAGCTCTGTCTTAATTATTAACCCTTTTTTTTTTTTTTTTTTTTTGGTTTTTCGAGACAGGGTTTCTCTGTGGCTTTGGAGGATGTCCTGGAACTAGCTCTTATAGACCAGGCTGGTCTCGAACTCACAAAGATCTGCCTGTCTCTGCCTCCTGAGTGCTGGGATTAAAGGCGTGCGCCACCAACGCCCGGCTATTAACCCATTTTTATAACCTATTCATTTCCATTTAGTCTTGGCTAACTGGAGAATGCCCGGACCTGTTACTTCTTTGGTGGCTGTCTGTCTCTGGTGGGCTCTCCCAGAATTCTCCTCTCCTAGTCCCGCCTATCTTCCTGCCTCATGGGCCAAATGTTGTTTTCTATTCATCAACCAATAAGAGGAACATATACAGAAAGACATCCCCCATTAGTCCTGTTTCTCTAAGAGCATGTATGAGTATGGGCCTGGCTGCGTATCCCTTCTCAAGCCTGTTCCCTGATGGTCGCCTTTTGTTCCTTTCTTCTCCATGTCTTCTCCCTATGTGCCAAGCATGGACACACATATATTTGCCACCCCAGGCACTGTGGCTCTCCAGCACTGTGTCCCATATAGTGCCCACGCTTACTTTATGCAGCCTCAGAGACTGGTGGTGCTCGTGGGAGTTACCATAGCCACAAGGACACCACCGGTCACATGTCCTGTCCCATCAGGTACAGAACCTGCCACTGTCTGCCTCTGGGCAGCAAGTCATGGCAAGTAAGTCCTTTCTAATTAGCACCTATGGGTAGGTTGGGTTTCTTGAGTCACTGTCTAAAGAGCAGGAGCCTAAAGACCAGCTGCTTGTAAGTCAGCCATGATAGTACACACCTTCAATCCCAGAACTTGGTGGGCAGAGGCAGGAACATCTATCTCTGTGACTTGGAGGCCAACCTGATATACATAGTAAGCACCCCCCCCCAAAAACAAATTCCCAAGTTGGTGTCTAGCTCTTAGGCAGGAGTGATATGATGCCCTGGTGTCTTGCACTCTGCCGACTTCTCGAACTCCAGTCCTGCATCCCTGCCCCAGTAATGTGCATGCAGAAAGGGACAGGACCATGCTACTGAGGGACTCCATGTGCAGATGCCCCTGACAGCCTCTGAGCAGCTGGGTGTTCCATGAGCTGCTTTTAAATTATTTCTGTGTATGTTGCGTGCGTGCGTGCGTGTGTTGTTGGGTACCTGTGCACACACACTGGAATATTTATACATGTGTGTTTAGCTGGCTAGAAACAAGTCATGTTGACTGTTCAGATGCAGCATTGGGAAAACACTGGTGTTTCTTTTTGCAGAAAAGCCTGCTGTCGCACCATCCGTCTTTGTGTTTCAGAAGGACAAAGGACAGAAGGTAAGGGACCACTGTGCACTCTGCATACACACCTTCCTCAGACTTGCTTTGCCTCCTAAGAAGGCAGTGAAAACCAGGCTGACGACTGGAGCATGCGCTCGTGACAGGTCTCCAGCATCCTCCCAGGTCCCAGTTCTGTGTTCTAGAATTGTCTCCCTATCCTGGGAACTGTGGGAAGGACAGAGGTTGATGAGTTCAAGAGTAGCAAGTACTGTGCACATCTTGGGGTGCATGGAGCACATAGCCCCCACTCTATCTCCAGCATCCCAGAAAAGTGTCCTAGCTTGGGTATGTCACTGCATCTGAAATAATCTTGGCCTTACTGTCCCCGCCTCTGCTTCCTGTCTATGGAGCTGGCGTCTCCCTCTCTGAGGACATATCACACCAGGGACCATGTACCGCATGTCTAGTGAGCACTGTGTCTGGGCCTTGCCCCATATGGAGAGGCAATAACCAAGGATGCCACTGTCCACTTGACTGTCCTTCTCAAGGCCATCCATTTGTAATTTTCTGTACATAGCTGTGTGTAGGGACAGAGGCATGTCAGAAGACAGAGGCTGCTAGTGGCCTGGCTCCCAGCTGTGTGACTCTGCTACATTTGCATCTGTTGGGAGGCTGGCAGTATTTGACAGTGCTAGGTAATCAGCTGAGAGCTGCTGTGTGGGTCTGTACTCGGGAGGGAAGCTGCTGCCTGCTCCACCTCCGTGTCTGCCAGGGAGACACTGCCCGATGGTGGTGTTGAACCAGACTTGCTGTCTGTTCCTGTCTTTTGCTGAAGCATCTGGAGGCCCTGGGAAACTGCTGGTATGTTTTGGTGACAAGAATGGTTTCCAGAATGCCATTGCGGCCTTCTGTCTCCAGCCTGGTGACAGCTGTGTCCTGGGGTCCGAGGTCCATGTGGGTTGTTTTCTGTCCAGTGTTGGTAGTATCTGGACTTTCTGAAACCCTCCTGTGACCATGTGTAAGACAGCTTCAGTTGGCTGTGTTGGAAGTCCCCACCGTCCCCAGCTGCCCCTTTTCTTCTGTGTGGACAGACTCACAGTGAGTGTTGATGGCTGGGGCGGCTTGGGGACTCTGCAGTTTGCATGTTTACACAGAGACAGGAGGGAGACTCAAGTCTGAGCATTGGGGTAGACAGGAGATTCTTAAAGCAAAGATGGTCACAGAATTAGTTCTTTTTTTTTTTTTTTTTTTGGTTTTTTTTTTTTTGGTTTTTCGAGACAGGGTTTCTCTGTATTGTTTTGGAGGCTGTCCTGGAACTCACTCTGTAGACCAGGCTGGCCTCGAACTCACAGAGATCCGCCTGCCTCTGCCTCCTGAGTGCTGGGATTAAAGGCGTGCACCACCAACGCCCGGCTCAGAATTATTTCTTGAGTATACTGTATTACTTGGGTCATCTTACCTACCTTGGAGTTATGCTTTTCTCCAGAAGAGAACTGGCTGCTTTGGGGAGGCCTGGACTTAGCATTGGCGGTGGCTGCTTTGCCCCTTAAATGGCCTGTAGAGGTGTGTTCCTGGGGTTGGGCCCGATGGCTGACCAGTCCTGTGAACAAAGGCTCGTGTCCTGGCACAGGGTCTGCTTGTCTCCAGCAGGCCTAGTCACTATCTCTGGGCTGTGGGCAATGCTCCCTTAGCTCAGTTTTTGTGATTTAATGTCTCCTAAGCTACAGTTCTGTTGTCATGAGTCTCTTCTGCCTTACTGGGATCCAAACCCAGGTCCTCTGAGAGGAGAGTCAGCATTGTCAGCTTCTGGGCCAAAACCTTGTCTATTTAAGCAAACAGCAACCATCAACAACAAAGAGTGTGTGAGACCTTTGTCCTTCTGTTCTCAGGCAAGACCAGCCAGGCTTCTCTCAGGAGTCTGTCTCCCCCTTGCTCTGTCTTCGTTTTTGCTGTTATATTTTCAGTTTTATTTGGGAAGTTCTCAGATCCTCAGAAAAGATGATATTAAGGCTGGGCGGATGGTAGCACACACCTTTAATCCCAGCATTAGGAGGCAGAGGCCAGCCTGGACTGCACAGTGAAACCCTGTGTTGGGGGAATGGGCTGATACTAGCATCCGAACCCAGTGCTCATGTCTGCCTAGCATCCCCAAGGGCTCTGACTGAGGAAGGATTTGGTGCACTCGGTGCCTAGACTGTGGTCCCTTCCATAGCACCAGGAGCAGAGCACTCCTGGAAAGTAGTGTGGAGACAAAGTCCAGTTGTCTCAAACACCCCTTAAAGCCTTTATGTGTGGGATGAACTTCCTGATCTGTGGCAGTCAAAAAGTCTGTTGTCAACGAGGGGAGTGGGTGCCCCTAGTTGTCCTGTGTGAGGTAGGAAGACTGCAAGGTTTGGGCTAGCCTGGGCTACAGAGCAGGACCCTGGTTTTAGAGAGAGAGAGAGAGAGCTCTCAGTCTATGTAAAGCAGGCTGCACTGGATGGCGGTGCAGGACTAGAAAGGGAGCAGGTGGCTCAGCTGCCTGCCAGGAGACTTGCATCACTGGCCGTGCAGTGGCAGTGGCATGTTGGCTGTGTTGCCCAGGGTGACAAGTGGCCACCTCCTGCTGCTGCCTGGGATAGGAAATGTGCCCACTCCTGTTTGTTTTATAGGTGTTGTTTGTTTCTATCATTTGTTTTTGGTGATAGAATCAGGAGCTGTGTTCCAGTCCAACATCCTAGCACCAAAGCACATCCCCAATCTAAGCTTGGTTGTTTATTAATAATTATTACTTTGGTTTGGAGACAGGGTCTCACTATGTCACCCTGGCTGGTATAGAACTTGCTTTTTTGAGCTCATGGAGATCAGCTTGCTTCTGCCTCCACCTCCCAGGTACTGGGATAAAGGTTTGTACTACCATGCATGGCTTATTTATTCATTTTTGTTTTTTTTGTTTTCTCTGTGGCTTTGGAGGCTGTCCTGGAACTCACTCTGTAGAGGCTGGTCTCGAACTCACAGAGATCCGCCTGCCTCTGCCTCCCAAGTGCAGGGATTAAAGGCGTGCGCTTATTTGTTCATTTTTGAGATTAGAAATCTCATGCTTGAGGTTAGAGCTGGCTCAGCAGTAAAGAGCACTAATTGCTCTTGTGGAGAACTTGGCTTCAGTTTCCAGTGCCCACAAGGAGGCTCACAGCCGTCTGTAACTCCAGCTCCAGGGATCAGACATCCTTCTCTGACCTCTGTGGATTCATGGCGCACATACTATTTGCAGGTTAACGCTCACACATGAAAAACACGGAGTCTCCATCAGTGCAGTGGTGGTGCATGCCTTTAATCCCAGCACTCGGGAGGCAGAGGCAGGCGGATCTCTTGAGATTGAGGCCAGCCTGGTCTATGAAGTGAGTTCCAGGACAGTCAGAGCTGTTACACAGAGAGACCCTGTCTTAAGGGGAAAAAAACCCCAACAACAATAAAAGTGTCAGGGTAGCTGGGTGGTTTTGTTTGTTTGTTTGGTAATTTATTTTACTTGTATGAGTATTTTGCCTGCATCTATCCAAGGAGATCAGAAGAGGGTGTCAAGTCCCCTGGAACTGGCTTTTCATTCAGATAGTTGTGAGTTGTCGTGTGGCGCTGAGAATCAAACATGGGTCTTCTAGAAAAGCAGGCAATGTCAGCCCTGTGGTCATTATTTTTACTATAGAATCTCTTAATAGCCCAAGCTGTTCTTGAACTCACTGTGTAACCCAGGCTAGCCTTGAACTTTTTTTTTAAAGAAGTATTTTTTAAATTTATTTTTACTTTTTATGTGTATTGGTATTTTGCCACAGAACTGGAACTACAGACAGTTGTGAGCTGCTATGTGGGTGCTGGGAATCAAACCCAGGTCCTCTGGGAGAGTCTTCAGTGTTCTTAACCCCTGAGCCATCTCTCCAGCCCTAGCCTTGAACTCTTTGTTTTTTTTTTTAAAAGATTTATTTATTTATTACATATACAGTGTTCTGCCTACATGCTAGAAGAGGGTACCAGATTGAACTGTAGATGGTTGTGAGCCATCATGTGGTTGCTGGGAATTGAACTCAGGACCTCTGGAAGAGCAGTCAGTGCTCTTAACCTCTGAGCCATCTCTCCAGCCCGCCTTGAACTCTTGAACTGATCTTCTTGCCTGTCTCCTGAGTGGGAGGGTGGTGTGGGAACTGAGGGTGGAACCCAGGTTCTTCCACATGTGAGGCAAGTGTTCTACGATGGAACCACAGCCCAGTTTTTTATTTTGTTTTATTTTGAGACAGTTTTGTGCTGTAGCCCGAGCTGGGGTTCAAGTTTCTGAATGCTGGGGTGACGGGTGTGCTATTCCTGTAGACTCCAGACCTTTGACACCTGAAGCCTCGTGGCCATACTGGCGGCATGCTTGCTCTTCTCTGTCCTGTGTCTTGGGAATGCTGTCTGTGGGCTAGGTATGAGGCAGCCACTTCTCCCTCTCCGTGCTTGCTCTGCTGTCAGTCATAGGCTGCTGCTGTCAGTGGTGTCCTTCACAGCGCCTTGAGCAGTAGTTAGTGCTGTTAGCCCCATCAATCCGGTGCTCCCTGGGCAGGTGACAGGCAGCACCTACCTATGTCCATTGTATCCATAGCACCTGGACCTTTGGCTCTTTAGTGTGGCTGTCCCTGGGGGATACAGAATTAGAAGGGGGTGGCAGGCTGGTGTGATATGACTTAGTACTGGAAGACAGGCAGAACCTTCGTTTTCTTTGCCCCAGGCCCCCAATCGCCCACTGTGTGCCTTCCTTGTGACGCCAGTCAACTGATCCTGGCTCCCACTCTCCCTGTAGCCATTGTGCCCCTGGGAAGACCTTGCACAGGAAGCTGATGCTGACTCTTGATGATACTGAGCTCTGAGTATGAAGTGGTCTTCTGTAGGAGCTTTGTGAGCGATCCCCGCCCCTCTGGACCAGGGTCTCACTGTGACAAGTCTGGCCTGGATCTCACCGTCCTCAGTCTGCTGCTGAGTGCTGAGATCACAGGCTTGTGCCACCATACCTGGCCTTGAAGGAAGTTTGATGGAGCCGTTTCTTTCCACAGGGCTCTGCGTTTCTTGTATTTTCTTTTGATGGGGGTCATGTTTCAAAGTAGCACCCATGCCACGTCTGGTGACACAATCCTCCGTCCCAGCCACCCGGGAGGCTGAGACAAGAGGGCCCCTGGAGCACAGGACTCAAGGTGACCTGGGCATCACCGCAAGACCATGACTCATATCACAGCACAGCCCTATGGGCAAGTCATACCCTCAATATTTCCTTCATCTTTGGCCAGCCACGGCCATTTCAGTTATTGGCTGAGAACCAACGGTGGACAGTGTTGTGTGGGGCTCGGAGCCCTGGAGCCCTGGGTCACTGTGGCAGGGCATCACCTGTGAGAAAGAGTCAGGGCCACAGGTGCTTGGCCTAGCCGCCCTCAGAGTCCCCAGGTCTACCTCAAAGGCTTCCGGCATTAGCTTTTGCATCCCTTGGCCTTTTCCAAATAAGCGCACACCCAGGATGTGTGGGATGAGCCTAGGAAAGCCAGAAGCCCTTCTGTCCCTTGTCCTGTCCACTGACAACATTTTAGTGTCTAGCTGGAGTGGCAGAACCCTCAGGGTTTGATCTCTATATCATGTCTCCTTCCTTGTTCTAAGAGAGGCTCAGAGCCTACCTGCCCAAGAACCCTGTGCATGGGAAGGAAGAGGTAGGAACAGGGACCCTCCCCTTCCCCTTGGTGTGGCCTTCTGTGTACATTGAAGGAAAATTGTCTTTTTTGCCCCTCAGTCCTCCACAGAGCACAAAGACTTGCCGGAGTCGGGAGAGGAGCCTCGGGGGGAGGCGGAGGCGCCCCGCTCTGATGCGGGGCACCCCGAATCTGCTGGGGAGCATGCCTTAGACCCTCCTGCCCCTGCTAGTGCTTCCGCCAGCTCTCCTCCGCCCCCTACTCCTGCAGCCCAGCCTCCTTGTGTGCGAGAACTGTCGGGGGTAAGTGCCCACAGCCCACTCTGCATTCTGTTACTCGGGGCTACCAGGTCCTGAGTCCCTGTCCCTTTAGCCCCAAGACCACCCAAAGCAGCTGGGAAGGGGCAGCAAGTATTTACTTGGCCCATTTAGTCATGCCACTGACCAGACAGGGGGACTGACCCCTCTATCTGTACCACAGTGAGAAATGGGGCCTGCTTCCTGGGAGATGGGAGGGGCCCTTCGAGAAGCTGGTCCGCACTTGTCACCCTCCCAGGCTACTCCTGGCCCTTTGGCCTCCTCCCACCTCTCTTCTCATGAATCCGAGTGCTCAAGTTCAGGGTCTTAGGAACCCAAGGCTCTGGAGACTCTGAGCTTGAACTGCAAGGGAGCAAGAGGAGGGCTGGGCGGTGGTGGCACACGCCTTTAATCCCAGCACTCTCTCAGCACTCGGGAGGCAGAAGCAAGCAGATCTCTGAGTTCAAGGCCAGGCTGGTCTACAGAGTGAGGTCCAGGACAGCCAAAGCTGCACAGAGAAACCCTGTCTTATAGGGGGAAAAAAGAAGCAAGAGGAGGGAAAGCCTCGCCCCTCCCTTGAGCACGTGTGGAAGACATAGGTGAAGGATGGGCAGCTTACACCTCAATGGCAGGAGGTGGCTCAGTGGATAGAAACATTTGCTGTGAGACTAGGATGACCTGAGTTCAAATTCCAACACCCACATAAAAAGCCAGACATGGCTACCTGTACCTGAAACCCCAGCATTGTGGGGAGGAATGAGATGGGAGAGGTCAGAGTTCGGTGGCTGGCCAGCCTAGTCCAAAATGATGAGCTGGTCTCCAGACACAGACATACTCCAGGTTAGATAAGAAGAGCCCAGCACCATCGCTAAGTCACCAGGTGTGTGATGACAGCAGGACCAGGCTCTGCCTGCATCCCTTGCAGGCCCGAGTGATCCCCCTCTTCGTGCCAGCCACAGCCCCGAAGCCTAGGTCATTCTAGGAGAAGGTTTGACCAGGGTGGTGCTGTGGTCCTGCCCTGTCATTTGAGGATTCAGGGTGTGAGGGGAAAGAAGCAGGGTTTTGATGGTGTATGTGGGGCTGTGGGAAGATCCTCTGTAATGCAGAAGAGAAGTGACCACAGAAACCACATGAATAGGGTACTCCATTTTTACTTTGGACAGAGTCCCCTGGAAACTGCCTCCTGTCTCTGTGCAGAGGAGTGCTGGCTTCCAGGCTAAGCGAGGAGCAGGTCCATCCCAGAGCCCTTATGACAGAAGCTGCTCTCCAGAGCTGGTGTCCTGTGTGGTGACCTGGGCCCACAGAGCCTGGCTTCTTGATTTTCATGGGCTGCAAACTTGAGCAGCATAGTCCCCGGTCATCCAGTGAAAGGGGCCTCCAGACAAGGGGGGGGTGGGGGGGGTGACCCAGCGCTTACAACCTCACAGTGCCTGGAGCAGCACTGCCACACCACTTGGTGACAGCGCTGAGCCACCAGGCCAGTGCAGAGTTCTCAGTGGGGAAGCTGGGCTGGCTGCCAACGGTAGTCTCGTGGCTGGCACATCGCACAGACATGCTGTAATTTGGGTCAATTGGGCTGTAAATCCAGTTGGGTGGAACCTGATCCCGGGGATACCAGGCTGAGCTCTCCAGTCCCTGTACGGCAGAGCAGGCTTTTATTTTGCTGTGCCCTCCGTCTCAGTTGAGGGAGCTGCTCGGCTACCCAGAGGACTCCTTCATTTCTCCAGTCTGTCTATGTACTCCATGCCGTGTTTCCCGGGTGTGGAGGGTGAAAACGAACTTGTGTGATGAGCAGCCTCCTGGCCTGAGGACACTGGAAAGACCATGTTGTGCAGCACCATGTGCACCTGTCCCTTTAGAATGCCGTCCTTGGGGACAGCTTTTGTGCTCTTGTGCTCGTGTGTGTGTGTGTGTGTGTGTGTGTGTGTGTGTGTGTGTGTGTGTGTGTGTGTGTGAGACACACACATATATCTATTATATCTATCATATATATCGCACCCACACTTAAAATTGTGTGTATATCTGTGGACCCAAGATGCATTTGAGTTTCGTACCCCTGGAACTGGGGTTAAAGGTGGTTGTGAGATGCCTCATGTGAGGGCTGGGAACTTCTGTCCTGTAGACAACCAGTGAGTGCTCTGACCACTGAGCCATCTCTCCAGCCCTGAGGACAGCCTCTTTGATGTGTCTTGTCAGCTGGCCACCCCATCGCACCCACAAGTGGCTTGTGTGTGCTTCTCATCCAGCGCCTATTTGCCAAGACCAGCTAGGTTCATGCTCTGTGGGGTCTTTCTCAAGCGTGGTCTCACACAGCTCAGGTTGGCTTTGAATTCTTGGTCTTCCTGCCTCTGCCTCCCACCTCCTGCTGGCAGAGCTGAGCCGGTCCACAGGGTCCACAGGTCCACAGGTCCACAGGTCCACAGGTCCACAGGTCCACAGCTGCCATGAGCACCACTCTGAGCTTCTTCGTCCAACCAAGGTGGTATGGGAATCAGCTGGAACACTGGCTTGGCCTTTCCCCGGCTCCCTGGTTGTTGAGGCAGATGCCTCACTCAACCTGTGTGTCCTCCTGGAGCCCTTGTCCTTGAAGCAGTAGGACTCATGGAAGCTTCCGTCCCCACACGTGTCCCCAGTGGTATCCCAGATGAATCCACGAGAGCCTGCTTCCTTGGTGGAACTGAGCAGCAGCAAAGCAACCATGACACGTGAGGGTGTGAGGAGCTGTGTCCACAGCCGTGACACGTGAGGGTGTGGACAGCAGTGTCCACAGCCGCGACACGTGAGGATGTGGGAGCTGTGTCCACAGCTGACCCAGGTGCGAGTCTGCAGGGTCTTCAGCACTCACCAGTGCCTGCAGAGTCCCCAGGGTGACTCAGCCTTGCAGGTTGGGCATGGATCCAGCAAGGTAGCAAAGACCAAGAGAATGTTCTCAAGGCATCTCAGAGGGCAGAAGCTTCAAGGCTCACACACAGTATGGCTACCACTATGTCCTGGGTTGTAGTCCCTGGCTGGTTCTCTGAGGCGCAGAATTCTCTGGGCAGGTTCCCAGCAAATGTCTGTTGTGTGGCCAGGTACCAGTTTGGGCTAGATTTGGGGTCCAGTGGGGTGACACCACAGGTCAGCATCTGTATCCTACTGGAGCAGTGTGAGCATAGAAATTTGCTGTGGGCTTGGTGCCCACCTGGGGGCAGGTGGTGGAGACATGTGGTCAGGTCTTGGGCTGCTCCTTTTTTTTTTCCCACACCCCATTATGTGACCCCCAAGTGCTGAAAAACTGCAGAGCCCTCATGCTTTTCCTGATATCCTCTGCAGCCTCTAGAGATCTGACATTGCATGGAAGGCAGAGCCTGGCTCAATCTCAGTGATGAGCTCTTGGGGTGGGGGTGGGGTGGGGAGCCGGTGCTGCCTGGGGGTCATTGCTGTTCCTGTCTTGTGAGTGCGAGAAGTAGAAAGCAGAGGCAGGCTTGCTTGCTTCTCTGACACGGGCCTGAGCTGTCAGCTCACACTGAGGAGAAAGCCCAAGTCTGTTAGAAATTTGCCGTGTGTCACTGAGTAAATGTCCCACCCTCTCTGGGCTTGCTGCTGCAGACTCCAGCACACTGCCTATCTGCGCAGTTCCTGGACTGAGCCAGTGTTTACATTGTTACAGGATTATAAGCAAAAGTGAGCAGATGCAGCCTGTGAGCCAAAAGTGCTGGCTTTCTGGCCCTTTATGGGAAAAAAAACGGGCCAGGGCCCGCTGCGGGAGGGTCTCTGCTGGCGCTCACCGTCTTTGGGTTTATTGATTGCATCGGTCTTTGGAACATTCTCTTGTGTCGTCTCATTTAACCCTCAGCAACTCCTTGGAGCCAGTACTCCCCCCATTTGGCTCAGCTTGAGCCTGGGGCACTTGGGGGCCCGTAGGAAAATGGATTCTTGCGCTTTCCTAAGTGGCCCGAATCCACCAGAAGTGTGTGTTCACGTTGGCCTTTGCTTCTGGCCACAATGTCTAAAGGGTGATGTAGCACTGTGTGGACCCAAGAGGGACTGTGTTGGGCAGGAGCTGGGGAAGGCCCTTAGCAGCCTGGCACAGCCTCGGAGCACCTTGGCCCAGACATCAGAGCTTGCTTGTACTGGAACTGACAGCCCCGAAACAAGAGTGCACGTGTGCCATAGGATGTTCCAGAGAGAGGGCTAGGAGCCAGGGTGCTTCTGTGCCTAGACATTTACATGAAACTTGCATGGGCGTGCTGAGGGCCATGCTAATGCACTTGGCAGGCCAGGGTGGGTTGTGCTGGAGGTGGACCATGGGTCATTGGACCTGACCGAGAAGGGGAGCATCTTTAGGGCAGGGCACAGGGAGTTGTAAGCACAGCTTGGGACACTTGGTGACTCTCACCACTTCTGTGCTGTCATTGCAGAGGTCTGCGGGCAGCTCCAGCCCAGAAGCCGGAGAAGGTAAGGAGCTCCCTAGAACACTGGGCTGCCCTGGAGCCAAACCTGAACATTCCCTAACTCCACCCACCCTGTGTCTAGATTCTGACCATGAGGATGGAAACTACTGCCCTCCTGTCAAGCGTGAGCGGACATCTTCTCTAACACACTCAGGTGAGCGACACCCTCACGAGCCAGGGAAAGCCTGCCCCAAGGATGACTGACACCTGGGGCTAAGGGAAGCTGACAGTCACCCTAAGATGGAATTAGGAGGTTCTCTGTCGAACCCTGTGGGGACACCAACGGTAAATGTGACTCTCTGCAAGGACATGGTCATTGGTGTGGACTGGAGGGGACAGTATCCTCACCCATTGAGTACATCGGGTGTCATGTGCACACTAAGGCAGAGCCAGGGGGCAGTCACTTCTGTGCTCCCGGCTGACGGCACATGGTGAGACCATGGGGTACCATACACATGAATGCCAGCCTCTGGCTCCAACCAGTGCAGGAGTGAGGCTGTGCCCAGGTAGAGACTCTGGGAATGCTCTATTGGAGGCTGGCAAAGCCTGGTTTGCTCCCTTACCCATAGGCCCACTCAGGTCTGGTGACTGCTGCCCTCCAGGGTGTTGCCTGATGGCAGGGTCTGTGTCTCCATCTAGGCTGTGAGGAGTGTCACCTGGGTCACATGTATATGTAGTCCATCTCCTGTGCAAACACAGCTGGAAGATGTGGTACATCTTCAGTTCCTGACCATTGCTTCCCCTTCAGCTAACAGACCTGGGTCCTCCCAAACACATAGCTCTTTGCTAGAACTTAACTGAATCAGAGATTCATACACACAAAAGCAGGCTGATCTCCGTGGGTAGTGCATTCACCTAGGTTCAGATCCCAGGAATGTATAGACCAGCACATGCGATCAGGTGTTCAAATCATTCTCGTCCTCAGCACCATTCTCTGGCCTGTTTGGGCTGCGTGAGACCAGGAAGGGGCTGGGCCCTCACTCTGATCCCTGGGAACCCAACTGTGCTCTTTGGACATTGGGTCCCCAGGTAGTCTGTGTGCCTGGCTTGACTGCAGGCACTGTCTTTAGCCGCAGCTGAGGGGCACAGTGATCTTTTCACTGTAATGCCAGACTTGCGACGTCCTAGGCTGGAGTCCCTATAAAAGATCTCCATAGTCAGGCTCACAGTGCTGTGGCCTAAGCTGCCTGGTGTAAACACTGCATGCCCATAGGCATTGGGATGGTTCGTGGGATTCGATGGCCCTGCTTCCACCCATGGCCTCCCTTTGTAGTCTGGAAGCCAGCTTCTCTGAGTAAGACCATGCAGGGGTCCTGGTCTCTGCTGCCTTTGGTTCTTGTCCTGGTAGTCCATCCCAGGGTGGCAGATGTTGCTTCTGCTCTGGGAGGAGGTCTAGTGCTCTGATGACCTCTTGCCTTTAACCCACATCTGGAGGGAGCATGGTGTCCCTGCAAACAGGTATCCCAGACCCTTCACAGCTGCACATTGCCTTGCCCTGAAGACCTGGGCCAGTTTGTGGGTGTGTAGAGGTGACACACAGGATTTGCAGCCTTGTCGGCCGGCCTGGGTGATTCTGTGCATGTGTGGCCTGTCCATGTGTGTGGGAGCCAGACCATGGCCCCAGGTGCTTTCTCGATGGCTCCTCCTCTCTGTCTTGCTCTCTTGAGGCAGCATCTTTGCCTTCACGAGAAGCTTCCAGTTGGCCAGGCTGCCTGGCCAAGCAAGTTCAGGATAAGTACTGGAGATTCAAACTTGACCTTAGTCTTGCAGGCCACGGAGAGTCTTCAGCCCCCCACCCTCCACTTTCCACCCCCCAGTCTTTGGAGGATCCACAAGAGTGACTTGGTTTCTTGGGGCACAGTCTCTTTCCATCCTCTCTTTGGTGTTATTGGGCATCCTTCAGTCAGGGTCCTGTGCTTCCTCAGCATGGGTGTGCTCTGCCCTGCGTAGGAAGCTCTCCTCCTTGTTCACCCCACTCTTCTCCCACCAGTGGCTCCCAGAGCCTGCCCTCCCTGCCCCTGCTGTCAGATGTGGGTCTGAGCTGATGGCTTCTGGGCTTCTGGGCGGTCAGGAATCTGTTTGATACTTGGGTATTGGCATTCTGAAGAGTGCCCCTGACCTCTTTCTTTCTTTCTGGTTCCCCCATCTCAGTCCTGGAAACTACTTTGCTTCTTTATTGGGGTGTGGCCTCTTAGAACCAGGATGTTACAGCTCATGGTACCATGCTTGGCCCTGTTCCTGGGCATGTGGAGCCCGCACTGATAGGGTTCTAGAAGCCCTTCTTCCTGACATTAAGAAGTCTGGTTCAGCCAGGCCTGGAGACACACAACTGTCATCTTGACTGTTAGGAGATGGAGGCAGGAAGACAGGAGTTCAAGGTCATCCTCAGCTACATGGTGAGCCTAAGGAAGAAACCTGGCTCTACTTTCATGCCATCCCAGCCATGTCAGCAGCTGCTCTGGGAGCTTTGCCAGCCTTAGGCCAGCCTGACTCAGTCCCCAGTGTATTCCCAATTAAGCGGATAGCTCCCTTGGGTGAGCAGTCTCCCCCAGCACCTCTGCCCCTCAGGTAGCATATGTCCAACAGCCAGCTGTGTGGGGGAGTGAAACCTGGGTTCCCCAGGTCCTGGGTGGGGTCACAGAGCAGCACTGTTAGCAAAGTGTGTCTTCCAGGGGCCTGAGAAGATCCGGCTGGGGACAGAACTCTTAAGCCTTAGCTGCCCACCTAGTGTCAATGGTGTGTGTCCATTTGGTCATAGTGGTACCCATGCTGGTGCAGGTCAATGGCTGGTGTCTTTGTGACTGGCTGTGGTACCCCCTTCTGTCGGAACAGGACCCTGAGAGGGCTCTCAGGTTTGGAAGGTGGCCCAGCACTAGCCCCTGGAGGCATCCCCGCCCTGTTCTCTGGCTCGCTCCAGGGGCCCCTTTGTCATGTTTGGCCGTGGGCTCAGCCCTTTACTCCCAGGGCTTAAGTGCTGCTCTGACTGGCTGGTCCCCAAGGCAGCCCCTGGACTTTCCTGTTAGAGCCCATGTGACAAGATACTTAAGAGGTGTCAGTGTGTCCAATGTCAAGCTGTCAACCCCAAATAAACTCTACCCCCATGAGCTCCAGTCCCCCTCAGCATCGTACCCCCTCAGCTGTAGGCATTATGAGTCTACTTCATATTTCTGAGCTTACCACTTCCGGATATTTCCTATCCATGGACCCCACCTTACGTTCGTCTAAGACTTTGCCTTTTCCCAAATTTCTAGATGTGGTTCCTTGTCTGTGTGTGTGGTGCACACGTTTCGTGGGGGTGCCTGTCACCAACACTGTCATCATTCATCACTCCCCGTCTTTCTTTTTGAGTCAGAGTCTCACTGATTGGGCTGACCCCACTGGCCAGAGAGCTCCAGGATGCTTCTGTCTCTGCCTGTACCATATGTGTTCTTGTGCCTACACGGGCCAGCTCTCCAGCCCCATGTTTTAGAGTTTTCTTCTGTTGACCTTTTCCCAATGGTTTTATTGTTTGTTTCCATCAGGAAGGTCACGGATGTGGGATGGTGGGGTCTGCATTTGTCATGCCTAATGGCTGAGCCTCCAAGAATGCCTGTGCCCTGTGTGCTTTCCCATGCCTCCTTCCATCATTCCCTTACCTGGGAGGAAAGAAGGGCCCAGAGCCTAGTGGGTGTGTCACCCTGTCTCAGTGTCTTTGTCCTCCAGGCTCCCTGTGCTGGCCTTGTTGCCGACCCATGCCTCTGATGCAGGGCAGAGCCTGTTGCTTTCCCATTGCAGCCTGGACCATTCTCAGGGGTCCTAGGCCCACTGTGCACTGTTTGGCTCTGCTCCCCCCCCCCCCCCCCCCGACCGAGCTCAGCTGTGTCTTGTTCTTGCAGAGGAGAAAAGCAGCGGCTTCCGGCTGAAGCCACCAACGCTCATCCACGGCCAGGCGCCCAGTGCAGGTGGGTAACATTTCCAGGCCTCTGCCTGGTCCCAAGATCCTTGCTGCAGGCCCACTCTGTCTGCAGGGACTATGACTGACATGGACACAGCCCTGGAAAGCTCCTCAGACCTATGGGAACAGGGTGTCTCCTACCCGGGAACTCCCTGTGACCCTGCACCAACCATGGCCATCTCCCCCTTGCAGTGGGCCAGCTCTTGGAGGGTAGCAATGATCTAGGCCTCATCACAGATCCCAGTGACAGGTGACTGTCACTATAGAAAAAGTGTTGGTGTTGAGCATGGCTTCCCTTGCATGATCACTGGAGTTGATGTGCCCTGGAGAAGCAGGGACACAGTTCCTAGAATTCACTGTGTTCCAGGTCTGCCCAGCCAGAAGCCCAGGGAACAGCAGCGTGGTGTTCTCCGCCCAGCTGTGCTACAGGCCCCACAGCCCAAGGTGCTGTCACAGACAGGTAAGTACAGAGGCAAGGGGATTCTTTGGGCCAGCTCCATTCCGGGGAGCCCTGGTAGAGGAATGAGGTACCTCCCACCTCTCTTTTCAACCTCCTAAGCTCTGCCTTGCAGAGCAGTTTCCAGGGTTTTGGCCTTGTCATTCAAAGCTCAGTATAGCCGCAACTTGGCTCATGCTGATTAATCACCCAGAGTCTGCTTGGCTACAGTGCTCAGAGTCAGCCAGATCAACAAGGCCATAGCACACTTGATTCTTGATTTTTTTGTTGTTGTTGTTGTTGTTAAATAATTTATTTATTCTTATTCATGTACAGTGGTGTTTCACCTGCATGCGAGGGTCCCAGATCCTCTGGAACTGTAGTTACAGACAGTTGTGAACTACCATGTGGGTGCTGGGAATTGAACCCAGGTCCTCTGGAAGAGCTGATGGTACTCTTAACCACTAAGCCATCTCTCCAGCCCCTTGATTCTTTTTTTTTTTTTTTTTTAATTAATTTGGTTATTGCTTATGTAGTGTTCTGCTTGCATGCCAGTAGAGGGCACCAACTCTCACTATAGATGGTTGTGAGCCATCATGTGGTTGCTGGGAATTGAACTCAGGACCTCTGGAAGAACAATCAGTACTCTTAACCTCTGAGCCATCTCTCTCCAGCCCCCGCATACTTGATTCTTGTTTCATTTTGTCTTGATTTGTGGGCCAGTAGGATGGCCCAACATGTTAGGGTGATTGCCGTTTTGTCTTGGTTTAGTTGGACTTTTGTGACTTGGTATCTCCCTGAGCAGCCCCATGTGTTTCTGAACTCACTCTGAAGCCTGGAATTCTCAAGCACGGGGGAGTAGGCGTTCACTGCTGCGCCAGCCACATGCACAACCGGGCTTTCCTCCAGCTGCACGAGGCTGTCTGTGATAGGTTTTCTTTTGCTGATCATTTTCTGGAGTCCTGCTTCTGAGCACAGTGGAAGCCAATTCTTACTTGTGTCTTGTTTTTGGTGCAGGGGTGGGGGTGTAGTACAGAGAATGAAACCCAGCCCCTGTGTGAGGTTTGGGTATTTTTTGTTTTTAATCTAAGAATGCACAATTTTTAAAAAAAATGTAGCCATGATTGACATAGAATTTGCTATGCAGCTCTGTCTTCGAACTCACAGAGATCAGCCTGTTCTGCCACCCACGTGTTGGGATTAAAAGCGCTCACCGCGCTGCATAGCCTACCATGAGTTGACTTTAGAAGCCTCTTTACAAAGGAGGCCTAGACAGAGTCCAGCAGCTTGACCAGCTGCCAGGGGAGAGGGTTGGGGGATACATCTGCCACCTGTCCACTCTCTCCCTTTTGCAGTCCCCAGCAGTGGTACCAATGGGGTCAGTGTGCCAGCAGACTGCACAGGACCAGCCACGTCTGCGTCACCAGAGAATCTCACACAGAAGAGCCCTTCTGAGTCTACCGATGGGACAAACACTCTCGAGGTTGGTGGGTCATGGGGCCAGCTGGTGTAGGCTACAAGAGCAGGCCCTGATGTAATGTCTTCTCAGGTTCTCTGAGCCTGTCCACCTTTAGTGGTTTCCAGCACTCGCAGGTCTGGGCTTGCTCAGTGTTCTCTGTGTGCAGTTGTACCTGTGCCACCCCTTTCCACACCATAACAACACTCAGGCAGGGCGCTTGCAGAGACAGAAGGTTACAGGTTGACAGCATGGGGCGCGTGCCCCCAGCTGGTTACGGCCCACTTCACTGAGAATGCTTGGTGAGCTAGGCAGTCATGGAGTGGACAACAGAAAGCCAAGGGGCTCAGTCCTTTTCAAGGATGGTGTTCCCGTGACTACTCACTTCCACAGGCCCCTGTTAAAGGTCCTCTGCACACCACACCAGCGCTAAGCCCGGCACTGAACACCCAGCATTACTTGATGGGCTGTCGGTCACTGTCAGGATGGACCCCACTGCCTGAAAGAGCCCAGGACTGACTTTTGTGGCTGTTTCCACAACAAGGTCCTACATGTGTCGTCATCCCGTTCATCCATCATTGTCCTCCCACCCCAGTAACAATGAGCCCTCAGGCTGCACAGATGCTGGCACCGGGGAGCCAACCCGGAAAAGCTCACCTAGGAGAAAAAAGGCCTGCACCCAGGATTTCAAGGCCAGGGCTGTGTGCTTGCAGCTGGTGGAGGGGGTTGATGGAGATTCTGCTTCCTAGGCTGCCTGCTGTGCTCTTGAACTAACTCGTCCATGGGGAGTCAGGCAGAGGCGAATGGAGCATGCTCGGGGAAGCGGGAGTCTAGGGCTGCGTGTGGAGTGCTCATCACTCCAGCGCCCTGCGTGAGCACATAAATGGCTCCCAGCCTGCTCTTGTGGCCGTGGCTGGGACTCAGGAGGGAAATCAGGTGCACAGTTCTAGCCAGGCTGTGCCAGCATCCAGCTCTACCCATCCAGGGTCTATTTGGGTCACCCTCTGTTCAGTGTCCCTGCAAGTATACCCTGTCCTCCACAGCGTATGCCCCTCTTATCCCTTAATGGGGACATGCTGGTCCACCTCCTCGCACTAGCACCTCAGTGCATAACATTGATTTGATTCTGGATCTGTCCCCGTGGCACCCCAAGGCCTCACGTTCTGGATGTCCTGGGATGAGCAGGGTCACCATGCTTACTGTCTCTGATCATGTGACAAGAACGAACAGAGCCCTTGCCTTCTCAGCCATTCCTGGCTTGTGACACTGACACTAGTTGGTCAGCGGTGCTGAGCTCAGTGGCCAGGGAGTAGGATTTAGCCTCTTGACAGGGCACTGGCCAGGAGACAGAGCTCCCTGATGACACACAGGTCAGAGAGGAGGACTTGTTGACTCCATGAACCTTGAGACTAGGATTCCTAAATGGATAGAAGCCATTGCAGAGTCACAACAGGCCTGGGGACTGGTTCCCAGTGGGGACGCTGCCCAGCAGGGATGGAGGGCTGTGCGTCCGCACCATGGCACAGTGAGAACGGGAGCAGATTCATAGGGTGTCAAGCCCTGGAGATGCTAACCTTGACAGCCACCTTTCCCCCACTGTCACTTGCTGCCACAGACATGCCAGGGCTCCTGGAAGTTCACTTCCATGTGCAGCCAGGGTGTCACCCCAAACTCCCTTCATGTAGGCCACATGGGTAAGTACTACTTGCTTGCTACCAGAGCCCAACGGTGGAAGGGACCAGTCCAGGCAGTTGCCCTCTGGTTTCCTTACATGCACACCTGCTCATACACACATATAGATAAAGAAATATAATTTGGTAGCGCACGCCTTTAATCCCAGCATTTGGGAGGCAGAGGCAAGCGGATCTCTGAGTTCGAGGCCAGCCTGGTCTACAGAGTGAGTTCCAGAACAGCTCCAAAATAATTCAGAGAAGCCCTGTCTTGAAAAACTAAAAAACAAAACAAAAACAACAACAGAAATCCCTCAGTACGGGAAACTGAGGTGGGAGTGAGAGTGGCCTTGGACGTGAGGTCCCCAGCTGCCACTCTGCCCACAGTGGACTCTCACATCTGTCCCACACCATACCATTTCCTCTCATGACCGACATGGTGCTCATCTGGTCCTTCTCCATAGCTGCTCTGTCTCTGCCCTTGGCATTTACAGTTTGCATCCTCGGTGTCTGTCTGCTTGCCTGATGGGACCTTTGGTACGATTCTGACTGTTGGCACCGGGGTGTGGTGGTGTGCCCTGGCCCCTCTAACAGCCTGAGTCAGAGTCCTGAGAGCAGGCTCTTAGAGATGCCTGCTGAGCCCTGGCTGTGACAGTCACAAGCTGCCTTTCTCCACCTGGACAGCAGAGTGAGTGCCTAGGACCAAAAGCCAGTCGGCTTCTAAGAGGGTTGCCATTGGGACATCCACCTTGCCGCCACCTGGAAGCCATCCCTTCCCTCTGTTAGCTCTACTGAGGCAGGGGATTGCTGGTGTTGGCCAGCTGCCAGGCTTCAGGCTTTTCTCTGACACTGTCCACCCCGGAGTGTCTTATCATAACTGCCAGCAGGGCACATGCCCGGTTGACTTCAGGCTCCTAGAGGCCCTGTCACCGTCACTTGGAAGTGTGATTGTGTCCTTCTCTTTTACTGTAGGAGAAAGTACTTCAGAAAACCCCACATGGCGCCTCAGAGGGGCACTGTGAGGAGGAGCAGGTGGCACCACAGGCCTTTGTGTTTGGACAGAACTTGAGAGACAGAGTGAAGGTATTCGCTGGGTGGGTGTGGGCCCGCGGACTCCAGCAACCACTCCCTAAGGAGACTGTCCTGGGTACCCATGACAGCCACACATCTATCCAGACATCCACTGCCCAGGGCCCCCATCCTGTTAAGAATCCCTGTCTACTTTGAGGTCGTATGTCATGTGGCCCATCCTCAAGTCTACTATGTAACAGAGGACGGACTGAACTCCTGATCCTCAAGTCCTAGGATTTCAGGCTACCTCAGGTCATTTTTTCCCAAGAGCTACACTAAAATGCTGATTGTGGGATTGATTTGACATGGGTTTGATTTGAGGCAAGGTCTCATGTAGCCCAGGCTGATCTCAAACTCACTGTGTGGATATGGGTGACACTGGACTCCTGAGCCTCCTGCCTCAGCCTCCTGAGTGCTGGGATGGAAGTTGTGCACTACCCAGCCTGTCTTGTGTGAGCTGGGCCCTGGGCTCGGGCAGCCCTCACCCCAGCCTCAGCAGCCAGCACCACGGGGACCATGACAGACTCACCAGCAGAGCGGTGAAATAGGTCTGGGCACTCTAGACATGTAGCTGTGCCTTTCATGTGTCTGCCCCGAAGCCCTCCAGGCAGTTAGGACTATTTCTGGCTTGTGGGTGTCACCAAAACAGTGGAGCACCAGCGTGGGGTGGAGAGGACTGGGGCACTGCTCAGCACCTCACAGAGCTCAGGATGCCCCTCGGAATGAATGGGCCTGTGTCCCAGCATCCTGGGAGGCTGAAGCAGGAGGATGGAGGTCACCAGGCCAGCCTGGGCTGCACAGCAAGACCTTGTCACCACATGAAAAGCTTTCCACCATATAGAAGACACCAGCATGTCTCTTCCGCCTCCTTGTCACTTGCTGTCCGGTGGACACTCCAGTCCCTGAGAGATGTGGAAAGAGTCTGGTGTTGCTATGGCTTAGCCCAAGAGACCTTTGGGCACCTTCTTCTCGGGTCCATAGGACCTCAAGGCATCTGTGGTGGGCCAGCGGCATCTTGAAAGGGTGAATGCTTCCATGGGCTCTGCACTCCCTCCAGTCCCATCAAGCACAGCCTTAGCCAGGGTCACGGTGTCTTGTGATGCACTGTCACCCCTGTCATCATGTGTTTAACAGGACCACAGACAAGCTGTGATTGACATGCTTGCTGTGTGCCCACTATATGACTGGCTGTGCCGGGTGCCAGCCTGAGGGCCGTTGCCAAGCTTCGTGGTCCTTTCTGTAGGTTTTTCTGCCCTGTTTATTTTGAGTATAGCCCAGACTAGCCTTGAACCTTAGCCTCCTGCAGTGCTGGGATGAGCCACACCAGACTCTTTTCTCTTTAAAATAAGATCTCACTGTAGCTCAGGCTATCCCGAACTCCTAAAGATCCCCCTGTCTTTCTTTCCCAGTATTGAGATTAAAGGGGTGCACTGCCACATCCCGCTTGTCTTTGTGTCTTCACTGCTGTGTCAAGTGTGGCCATGCTGATGGCAGCCTTACCACCTGGGTAAGGACTTGGCAAGCACTTTTCAGATGGGGCCACATGAGCCGCCGCTTCCCTCTCTGCAGTTAATGAATGAGAGTGCTGATGGGGCAGGAGTAGACAGCGCTGCACATCCCAGCTCCGAAACACCCACCGCAACCAACTACTTCCTGCAGTACATCAGCTCCAGGTGAGCGCACTGTGGTGTGCGAGGGGTGGGGGGGTCCTCCGTTTGCAGGAGAGAGGCCACCCGCCTTTGTGTCGGCCTGTAGGGGAGTGGGGAAGGCAGGCGTGTGTGTGTGTGTGTGTGTGTGTGTGTGTGTGTGTGTGTCTGGTGCACGTCAGGGTGATACCCTGACGGTGACGGTGCCACTCCTCTCCAGTGCAGACAACTCGACCCACAGTGCTGACACCTCCAACAAGTTTGTGTTTGGCCAGAACATGAGTGAGCGCGTCTTGGTGAGTGGTCCTGGCACTGCTATCTAGTGCTTGTTCCCACTTGGGGTGCACAGCGTGTGGCTGGTTATGCTGTCTCCTGTGCGGTTGGGACAGGATTCTCAGGTACAGGGACGAGAAAGACCAGCTCACACTCGCTACAGGCTTTGGTTGCCTGCAGGCTGCCAAGGGGCTGGCTTCACCCTTCTTGTCTTTACTCTGTTGACATAGGCATCCCTGTGGGATGAACCTCAGCTTTCACACTTGAGGTCCCCAAAGCTGTACCACTGAAACAGATGGCCTGTGTCCCTGTCCACAGGGCAGCCAGGATAGCAGGCGTGTGCACGCTCCCTGCTTGTATCCAGGATGCAGAGCCTGGCAGTCACCCGCTCCTTGGGTTGGGTGATGATCCCTCCTTTGGCTGGCATGGTCTGCCACAGTATGGAGTCACAGAACTACCACCTGTGGTCCCGAGACGAGGGCCTGACTAGGAATGGCTGTTGAGGACGGGCCCCTGCAGGGTGCGCAGGAGTCAGGCCTCCGGGAAGTGCTGAGCGGCCGTCCCTGCTGGGCCTCTCACTCTGTCCTCAGCACCCACAGCAGCTCCGCCCTGGCACGCTTGTTTCCTCAGAGCCCCCCCAAGCTGAATGAAGCCAGTTCAGATGCCGGCAGGGAGACTACGCATGCCCAGGCAGGGTCTGAGCCATCGTCCCAGGAGGCTGCCCCCAAGAAAGGTAGGGCACAGCTCTGCACATACCTCGGGAGACTCCCAGCCACCAGGCAGGGACAGCTGTGGCCCCAGTAGACGTGAGAGGTTGGCTCGAAATGCCTGGGCTGGTTGGTGGGTGGTTGGGTTCTGCTGAGCAGGACAGCTCAGGTCCCCAGGAGTCCTCGACCTGCTGACTCGGCTTCTTTGTTGGATCTCCTCTATGCAGAGTCACTGGCTGAGTCAGCCGCCGCCTACACCAAGGCTACAGCGTGGACATGTTTGCTAGAGAAGGTGGAGGTCATAACGGGGGAAGAGGCAGAAAGCAACGTGCTGCAGGTGAGACCAAGCATGCTGAGGCGGGACTGCCGTCTCCCACGACGACAGTGGTCTGGGTGTGGTGGCGCATGCCTTTAATGCAGCACAGGAGGAAGAGACAGGCAGATCTCTGAGAGTGAGGCCAGCCTGGGACTTTTTTGCCTCAAGGAAACCAAAATGAGTTGTACAACCATTGTCAGAGTGTTTTCATTCTCTAAGGAAGACCCTGTCCCAGTGAGCTTGACCCTGGCACCCACAAATCTTCCTCATGTCTCCGGGCTCCCAGGTCTGAACATTTCTTATGGTGTCCCCCGACGTGTGGAGTATTGTACCTGGCTTTGCCACTAGAGTTTGGTATCCTTGGGTCTATTGTTTCTGTCACTGGCTGGGTAACACTCTTAAGGGGCTGCATGGTGCCAATGACCTAATAATTAGCCTCTTTCTGCCTCAGGACTCTTATAGGCAGTATGGGGTGTGTGTTTGTGACATTTACTTCCTTTCTGGGGTGGGCAGCGGAAGGGACCGCCATGCTGTTGTCTTCCTGGGTACTGTAGGATGCCGCTGCAGCCAGGCAGCTCAGCATAGCACCCGGCACTCCTTTGCTGTGGAAACAAGGTGGCATCTCTGTGTTTGGATTCCCAGCGTCCCCTTGTTTACACATTTGGGCAGAGTGCGTGGCTCCATGGTAGAGGCCAGCACGCAGGAACGTGGGTTCCATTCCCAGCACCACAGAGACCAAACCCATAAATAGATGACTCTGGGTAGAGGCCAGCACGCAGGAACGTGGGTTCCATTCCCAGCACCACAGAGACCAGAACCCATAAATAGATGACTCTGGGTGAGGAGCAAAGCTAGACACTGGCCATCAGCGTCCTGGCCACAACTGGTGGACTTGGTAGCCAGGTGGGGTACCCCATCGTCACTGGCACTCTTGAAGTGGAGCCTGAGCTTTGTGGGGTATAGAGGGCAAGTACCCCAGCCCTGCTTACTGACTGTGTGTTACAGATCCAGTGTAAGCTGTTTGTGTTTGACAAGACTTCACAGTCATGGGTGGAGCGTGGCCGGGGACTTCTCAGGCTCAATGACATGGCGTCAACTGACGACGGCACGTTACAGTCCCGACTGGGTGAGCACTGGGAAGTATGGACCCTCCAAAGGTGGGCTGGGGTCACACCAAACCAGAAGTCTAGGTTCCACAGCTGGGGCAGGGGCGTGCCTGTGAGCAGGGATACCAATCCCTGCTGTGAGCACCACACTGGTCCCTCTGGCCCGTGCCTGCTGCCTCTCCATGCTCATTTCCTGCTTCAACATCCTTAGCAGAAATAAGTACAGCTTGGAAGCCAGGTGAGGGCAGGAGGGGTGCCAGCCTGAGCCACAGTAAGGCCAGCCTGGGCTTTAGCATGCAACCCCCCTCAACAAAAGCAGAGGACCCAGGCTAGGTTGTGACCTCTTGGAACAGAGGGGGCTGTCCCTCCTCCTCGTGTTTCATGGTCTCACTCCGTAGTCCAGACTGACCTGGAGTCCACTGTGAGCCTGCCGTGCCCGTGTCTGACCTCTTCCAGAGACACGGAAGCTTCCTTCCCATTTAGTAGCATTCCCTTTAAAAGTAAGCTTAAGCTCAGAATTGGGAAATGAGGCAGGAGGACTGCTGTGAGTTCAAGGCTGGCCTATGCTACTGAGATCCTGCCTCCAAAAAAAAAAAAAGTTGATGGAAATGGCTACAGTACTTCTCTTAGCGGTGACAGTCTGTGACACTGTGCACACAGGGTAGTTGTGATTTTTCTACCCATAGCAGGTAGCAAGCCAGGAGCCACCTTTGTGGCTCTTATTCCTGGAACCTCCGATGAGCTCCTAGCCTGGGGGCGGGGCCCTCTGTAGGCCTGACTGGGTGGGGAGAGTCGGGACCTGTCTCACAGAGGGATGATGGGCTTGGACTTGGTCCTCAGGTGGGAGTGGGTGGTCTCCATCTCCAGAGGGTGCTGTGAGAGCACACCCTACCTGCCCTGCAAAGGCGTGGCTCCCCCGGCCCTGCTGGACAGCGCTGCAGCTCGGGGCAGCCAGTAAGTAGCTAAGTGGCCTCCCTGCTTCAGTGATGCGGACCCAGGGCAGCCTGCGGCTCATCCTGAACACGAAGCTGTGGGCACAGATGCAGATGGACAAGGCCAGCGAAAAGAGCATCCGCATCACAGCCACGGACGCCGAGGACCAGGGCGTCAAGGTCTTCCTGATTTCGGTGAGCTCGGAAAGGCTGGGGTGCCCACTGGCTCACCTCTGGTCACTGTGCTGATGTCACCAGGCAAGGACACAAACATCCCCTGGGCGGTTCCTGATAGCCATGTGCACACCATGCTGTCCCCTGTGCTACACATCACATATGGAGGGATGATAGACCCACTCTGATCTCATTGTCTGGCCCAACTCTCCAGGGCCCTTCCTTCCAGCACCTGGGTGGTGGTAGTCCCTCGTCAGAGAAGTCAGCTGACCAGGCCAGTGTGGCCCATTGGCAGGCCAGGGCCTGCGTGTGTAGGCACTGCCCAGCCTGGCTGCTCGCCACACACTGCCACCTTACACGCTGTCTCCCCAGGCCAGCTCCAAGGACACTGGCCAGCTGTATGCAGCATTGCATCACCGCATCCTAGCCCTGCGCAGCCGGGCTGAGCAGGAACAGGAGGCCAAGGCACCCGCACCTGAGCCAGGAGCCACCCGGGCCACCGAGGAGGAAGACAGTGATGAGGACACAGTGCTGACTCCCTCAGGGGTCACGGGAGCCGGTGAGCAGCATGGGACCTGTGGGAGGGGCTCCAGCTCGCCCTGGTGGTTGCGCTGGGACTGAGGAATCCGCTCTTCCCCCACAGGCACAGGTGATGAAGGGGATGGCCAGGCGCCTGGGAGCACATAGCAGCGGAGCCACTGAGCCAGGCCGCTGCCTTGTCGTCTGTCCGCTGCCCGTCCCTCCCTGCAGGCCGCGTCGTGGTGGTGTCTATTGCCGGGGTGGCCGCAGGCTGGATCCACGCGTCCCCTCTGCAGCAGATGGGGCGCCAGGATGCGGCTTGGGACTCAGACCTCATCATATTGATGAGCAGAAAGAACGTTTCCCGCCCTCCTCCGATCGAAACGGCACATTGACACTTGTCACAGCTTCTGCTGCCTCTCAGACCTGGCCTGGTCACCCAGCCTTGTGGTGACCGTCTCTCCCTCCCTGAGCAGTGACAGTTTGAACTCAGGCTCAGCCTTCTGTTGAGCAACCTGCTGTCTGCTCGGCTTCCTGCTCTGCCAGGTCCACGTGGCTAATGCCTCTCGTTCATTTCTGATGGCTTGGCTTCTGAGAGCCTGGATGAAGCTGCTTATGGGTTGAGCTGACTTGATGTCCCTGCGGGCGGCGTCCAACCCCCACAGTGACTCCCTAGGTTTGGGCTTGAGAACACCTGTGGAAGAAGGTGACGGGCCCAGGAGGGATCCTGCGCTTTTGCTCGCCCGCACCGCCTGGGCCTCTAAGCAGGTACCCAGTGCAGCACAGCCCTTAGGTAACTGACCATCTAGGACCCGAGACGCAAAGGACCGGTCAATTGACACCCCCACCCATGGACTGTGTGGCTCTGGCCAGGCCACACCCGGGGAGCCAGCAAGGACACCAGAGGCTGCCTGGCAGATGGGTCGCACTGCTTCCAGCCTTAGCCAGCCAGTGACAAGTGACTCCAGACATCGCCCATGTGTTTTGGAACATTTATGTAAGATTGTCATATGAAATGTATTTGAGAACTGCATTAAAACTTTTAACTAAAACCCTCAGCCTCCCATGCACCTGGCAGCCAGATGGGCTGGGTGTGGCCATGGAGGCCCCTATGGGGTCAGTGATCAGTCCAGCCATTGCCAGGCCTGCAGGTGGCCCTGCAGGAGACCTGGTCCATTCTGACATCTCCCCCTCCCTGTGTCTGGTTGAGGCCCCAGGACAGCAGGTGGGTCAGGGCTAGGCTAAGGGCAGCTGTTAGGCAGGTGAGGGTTGCCACATCAGAGGCGCCAGGCACTGCTCACCATGGCCACGAACTCTGCGTCTGTGTCCACTGAAGCGCTGAGCCCACTGTAGTAGTCTTGGAACTCGGCCAGTGTGACCTGTTGGGGGACAGACTGTGAGGGGGGGCAGGCTGTGAAGGTACCCAGACCAGGGTGCGGCCCCTGTAGGAGGTACCAGGTGGACACACCTGCCCATCCTTCTCAAATGTGTCAAAGTTGTCAAGGAATTGGTGGAGGGCCTCGTCCTCCGACCACTCTCCACTGCGCACCTTGGGGTGAGCCTGACCATTGTATACCCCTCGCAGATCATCCACGGTCACCACACCATCCCCAGTCTGGTCCAGCTTGGCAAAGGCAGCCGCAATGACAGCTTCCCGGGCCTGGGACATGGGGGGCTGTAGAAGGGGACAGTGACTGAGCAGGCAGGGACTGGCAGCCTTCACCAGAGCCTGCCTTGGTTTCTGAGGCTAGCCTCACCCGTAGTGCCCGCAGAAACTCCTCCAGGTCCAGTGTCCCGCTGCCATCGCGGTCCCAGCGCTTACACAGCGACTCTGCCTCTGCTTCCCCTACCTCCAGCCCCAGCTGGCCCAGACCCTGCCTCAGCTCCCCCGCATCCAGGGACCGGCTGCCATCCTTGTCCAGGCGGCGGAAAAACCTGAGGATCAACAAGTCAAGATAGGCTTACATGGATGGGCTTACATGTCCAGACCAGAAGATGTTTCCAGTATTGGGGGTGAGGGCTCACCTGGCTAGGCCCTGGATGCCTGAGGCCCCTCGGGACAGACACTGGGCCCTCAGCTTCTCCACGGTGGCATTCACAGTGTCCATTATGAGTGCCAATCAGCTGTGAGGCACAGAACTCCAGTGACTTTCTGATCTCTGGGCACAGAGCTGGTGATACCACACAGCCCAACAATACCCCAACCACTCACCTAGCCTGCCTGAATCAGTCCTGCCGGCGGAGCTCCGGGGAGGTCTGTGCGTCCTGCCTGGCACAGCTGTTGCTAGGCAGTATGGCTCTGGGGACTGGGCGGTGCCCAGCTGTAACTCTTTCTGTATCAGGCACATTAGCCAGCCAAGAGAGGCAGGCACTGTGATTCCCAGACCTATTGTCTACCTCTGGGGCCACGACAGCTTCAAGCCTGGCTGGAGACTTGGGGCACACAGCTGTCCCACTCTGGACTGCATGGGGTATGTAGCCCAGCCAAAGGCAATCCAGGGTTAGCTGGATATAGAGGCACAGGCTTATCACCCCAGCTATTTGGGAATCTTGAAGAGGGGACATAGCTGAAAGTCTGAAGCCAAATTGGGCTACAGACTGAAACTTAGCCTTAAAAAGTTAACTGGGGCCTGATTGGTACATGGCTATGATCCTAGCATGCAGAACGAGGGACAGAAGTTCTAGGCTATGTGAGACTGTCAAAGTCAAAAGAAAAAGCATCCATGGGTTTGCAAGCCAACCAGTGTCATGATTCAGTTAATGAGAAACTGAAGTGACATTTGCTACCCCAATGGATGGCGTGTTGTGCTCCAAACATTGGTGAGTAGCAGAAAAACAGCTCATTGTTTTTAGTTTTCAGTGCTTGGGATGAAACCCAGAGCCTTGGCATGCCAGGCAAATGTTGCTAAGTCACACCCCAGGCACCATTTTTCTATAGAGAAATGTAAAATATAATTAAGAATTTCTGGGAGTGTTCCTTTTCAGTGCTGGAGTAGAAACCAGGATCTTAACCCTGGCAAGCAAGCTCTGCTGTTGAGCTACAGCCCAAGCAGTTCTGAGTCTTAGTTGCAAGGCTGGCATTAAATCTCAGCATTACAACCCCCACCTAGAATCTCCCAGTGAGGGGCTGGGGTGTGGTCAGGGGTGGAACCCCTGTCTAGAAATCCCCAGTTGGGAACTAGAAGACAGGGCTAGTAAGTTTCAATATTCCACTTGTCCCCTAAATTGGAAGTGGTTTGGGCTTGTACACAGAGTAGTTACCCTTCCTCAACTGTCACTGGGAACAGCCTGTGCACAGAGCTGCAGGGCGGGCGCCCGACTCCAGTCCCCTCAGTAAAGCCGTCCAAGGAAGCATCCTACCCAGTCCCCACAACAGGAAGAACGACAGCCCGGGCTGAGAAATAACTGGTTTATTCTGGTGCAGACAGGACAGGTCCTAGCCTGCCTCCTCTGTATAAACAACTCCCTTCTCCCCTGTCTCCTCTGCTGAGGGTCCCAGACAGGAAGTCAGCACCGTCCAGGGCCTGGCCAGCTGGAGGCCCTTCTGGTTGGAGCAGCTCCTACCTTCCTGCTTGGTGACTGCTCAAGGACAATTCCCTGAGCACAGGGACCATGAAACTCAACAGACCAGCGGCTGGTTACAGGGGTGTGTGAGGCAACATACCCTCACCGTCGTAGGCTGGGGACAGCATTGAAACTAGGAGTTAAAAAATAGATTCTCTTAGGGTATCAAAAGGGACACTTGCTACAAAAACACCACTGTCCCCAGAACAGGGCAAGGGTTCATCATGTGGGGGAGGCTCCTGGCTGTGCGGGGCCTAGCCAGCTGCAGCAGGCACTTAAGTGGACAGAAGGCAGAAGGATCAGAAGTTCTAAGCCAGCCCGTGATACATAAAAGTTTGAGGCCAGCCTGGGCTACACAAGATTAAGCCTCAAAAAAACAATAAAATACAGTAGAAGGCAGCAGCCTGGTTGTAGGAGTTACTACAGGAGGCTGGTCAGGAGGCCCCTCTGGGAGGAGGCATTTGAGAGAGACCTGAGTGTTGTAGGGAGAGCACTGAGGCACAGGTCACAGGCAATGCGGAGACCCTGGAGCAAAGGCTGAGGTGTCTCAGCCTGCCTGCTCTCCCCAGAGGGAGGATGGATAAGGAAATCAACCCGGGGTTAATGATTTGTCTTCTTACACAGAAGCAACGGAAGGAGAAATAAAGAGGTTCCTCTACCACGTGAGGGGTGACAGCTCAGGAGGCATAAGAGGAGAGGGGCTCCCAACAGCAGGGCACGGCTCACACCTGTATTTGAAGCACTTGGGAGGACTGTGGGTTCCAGGAAAGCCTGGGTTATGGAGGGAGACCCCACCTCACAGCAAAAATAAAAACAGAAAACCCAAAGATAGGGCCTGGAGGTGGGTGCCTGTCATCCCAGCAGAGCCCAAGGTCACCTGCCCCAGGCAGCAAGTGAGAGGCCAGCCTGAGCTAAGTGGGAGATGACGGGTCAGACTCCTATTACTTCACTAGTGCTGGGATGGCGGGTGTCCGTCTGCCACCACGCCTGTGCATGCTAGGTGGGGGCTCCAGCCCACGGAGCCACTGCCCAGCCTTTGTTTATTTTTGAAATTATTTAAAATTAACTGAATGTAGCAGATACCCCAGACACTGGGGGGAAAACCGTTTTAGATGACACCTTAGCCTTTCACTTGTTTTGATGTTTAGCTAGGATGTCAGTAATGTCCAGGGTCCCCTTCGGGACACTGGTGACATCCAGGGCTCTGGACCTTGGCCACAGATTCTGAGGTCTAAAACACCAGGCCAGCTCACACCGTGGTCCCAAACACGGCAGGCTGCAGATGGTCCTGGCCCTCCTCTATGCTGTTGCCCAGGGGTGGACCTGGCCCATCGGGAAGTAGCTGTCCCTGGTTGCCGGCCAGCAAGGGGCCCAGTCGCTCAGCCTCCTCCAGGGCAGCCAGCAGCTCGGCCAGGGGTGGTCGCTGGCGAGTGAGGTCCCGCAGCAGGTCGGCCCGGGGCTGCAGCTGCTGGATCACCCGCTCCTTCTGGGTCACTTCCGCCTGCAGGCTGCGGACGACGGCCTCGGAGCTCACGAGCTGCTTTTGCAGGGTGGAAATCTCCCTGGTGAGGGAGCCAAAGCAGGGAGTTACTAGTGGGGGTGGAGGGGCCGCACCTGCCTGCCCTGGAGCCCTCTGAGGCTCCCCAAGTCCCCTCCTTCGTGATTGTGTGTGTGCTCACGTGCACACGTGTAAGCTGGGGTACAGTTTGCAAGAACTGACTGAATTGGTTCGCTCCTTCTACCCCATGGGATAAAACTCTTAGTCTTTCCTTTGTTTGTTTTTCGAGACGGTTTCCCTGTGTAGCCCTGGCTGCCCTGGAACTCAGAGATCCTAGTGTTGATAAAGTACCCCAACCCCACAGCGTGCCTGGAGCCAGGGTTCTATCCCTCTCCCTGCCAGCCCAGCACTCCAGAGGTGGAGGCAGGAGGACCAGGAGTTGAAGGTTATCCTCAGCTACACAGCGCCTTCAAGGCCAGCCTTCTCTCAAAAACAAAACAAAACAATGCCAGCTTTTTGTCTCCTTGGTAGGTCTTCCTTGTTGTCCAAAATGGTTGCCACAGCTCTGACTACTCTGTACGGGTTCTGACATCACGGTCTTCGTGTGCTCTGCCTCTGTCTGCCGACGTGCTTCCTCCCCAGCAGGCCCTGGGACACGCTCTCCCCTTCTCACCCCCTCGGATCCTCAGGTGGCACAACACTCTCGAAACCCAAAGGACGGGCAGTACCAGGGGACTTGGGCTTGCGGGCCAGGTGACCCCGTTTGAATAGTTTGAGACACTCTCGTGTAGCCAAGACTGCACTCTTAACTCCCCCTGTAATCGAGGCTGGCCCCGAACTCCCGATCCTCCGGCCCCAGCCTCCTCAGTGCTGCGATGCCGGGCACCTAGAGCTCTGGAGATTTCTGCTCCCGGTTCCCAGCCCTTGCCGCCCTCCTCCTCCTCCAGGAAGTCCGCCGGGCCTCCCCCGGGCGCCTCACCGGTCCTTGGCGCGGCCCAGCTCGTCCAGAGCGGCGCGCAGCTGCTGGTCGTGGAGGGCCAGGCGCTCGGCCTGCGCGCGCACGGTGCGCTCTGCCGCCAGCAGCCGGGCCTCCAGCTCCGCCACGCGCCGGTGCACGGCCGCCAGGTGCGCGTTCGCCTCCCGGATCTGGAGAGCCGGCGGCGCAGACATGATCCCCGGCCGCCGCGCAGACCCCGCCCCAGCCGCCGAGCCCCGCCCAGCGCGCGCGAGGCCCCGCCCACAAGCCCACCCACTGACGCCCTCCTCTCAACATGCGGCCACATTGGTTTAAAACCTCTAGAGGCCCCGCCCCACGCAAAGGCCAACGTCAGGTGGCCACGCCCCCAAAGGTACCCGCGAGCCTTCCTCTTGGACTCTTGCTATTGGCCACGTTTCTGAGAGGAGCGGGCCTAAGTGCGGCCACAACCCTTAGGCTCCGCTCGAGTCCCAACGCAGAATGGCCCTTGATGTCCGTCAATTACGATCGTCACCCTGCGATTGGTCCTCTTGCCGATAATCACCGCCCCCCAGGCTTGCCACGCCCCCAAATAGTCGCACGCGGTTCGGAGGCCGAATGCGCAAGCAGCCCCACCCCTCACGCATTCTGGATCCTCGATTAGCCACTGCGCGGGCCGATTGAGCGGAGTCCCGCCTCGCGCTGTAACAGTCGCACGCGGTTCGGAGGCCGAATGCGCAAGCAGCCCCACCCCTCACGCATTCTGGATCCTCGATTAGCCACTGCGCGGGCCGATTGAGCGGAGTCCCGCCTCGCGCTGTAACAGCTGCGCTGCGATTGGTCTACCCTTTGTCAACCTTCGCGCACTGGCCCGCCTTACGCTTCAATCGCGGGGCTGCAATTGGTCTGGCAATCCGTCAATCCTTTGGATGATGGGCCTGTCATCAACATTGTCTACGCTAGGAACGCCGCGTTTTTCTTCGTTGTCAGCGGTGAGCCTCGGTTTACCTTTCCAGGAATGAAGTCATGGATGTCTCTACCCAGATCTGCTCGGGGACAAACACGCGACACCAGTGTCTGCTGCGTGAACGAATACATCCACGCCCAGCCCGCTCCGTGCGCACGCGCACAAGCCGTGTCCATGTCCGGGGCGCTCAATAAAGTTGCACGCTGAAGCCTCGCGAGAGTTGGCCTTGCCGGCTGCCCTTGAGTTCACTGCTTCGTGGGTCTCCGGAGCGAGTGCCGCCGGGCACAGCCATGGCCCAGAGGCTTCTCCGAGCCTACGATGAGGTCCCCGACGGCACCCAGTGTCACCGCAAGACCTACATCACCACTGCCTTCGGCGGCCTCATCGGTGAGCGCGGGCCCCGGGGCGCAGGGCGGGGAGCGCAAGTCAGGGCGCGCGGAGGTCAGGGGTCCCGCGGGGCGGGCCAGGGCCTGGGCGCCGGAGCTTGAGACCCTTGAGGGGCGTAGAGCGGACTGGAAGGGGTCACGGGCCGTTGTCGGGCTGCAGAATCCGGAGAAAGCGTGAAGGCCTTTCCGGATCATCGGGGCACTCGAGGGTTACAGGGTCGGTAGCCCATACCGCCTGCAGCCGCGCTGTGTACCGAGAATCAGGAGCCTGATCCTCAGGATCCTCCTGCCTCCGCCTCCCAAGTGCCGGATGACGCGTTGTTGTGATTATTTGCGTCTGTTTTGAAGTTTTTCAGGCAGGGTCCCACCGAGTATCCCAGGCTGGCCTCGGACTCAGAGATCCACCCCCCGAGCTCTGAGGTTAAAAGCGTGCACCCCTTAATTCTGGGGGTTCCTGGTGGGACACACTTGCTAGGGGTGTCACACGGCTTCTTGGACTGCCTTGGGGTCACCTTGGGCATTTGGGACTCTCATTGAGCACCCTCAAGGCCTCATTCATGCATTCATTCACTGACTGCACCTCAAGGCCTCATTCATTCCCTGCACACCCTGGAGGCCTCATTCATTCATTCACTGAGTGCACCCTCAAGGCCTCACTCATTCATTCACTGAGTGCACCCTCAAGGCCTCACTCATTCATTCACTGAGTGCACCCTCAAGGCCTCATTCATTCAGTGACTGTGCACCTCAGGCCTCATTCATCCATTCACTGAGTGCACCCTCAAGGCCTCACTCAGTCATTCACTGAGTGCACCCTCAAGGCCTCACTCATTCATTCACTGAGTGCACCCTCAAGGCCTCACTCATTCATTCACTGAGTGCACCCTCAAGGCCTCACTCATTCATTCCCTGCGCACCCTGGAGGCCTCATGTGTTCACAGTGTGTCTATCCACAGGCCTCTCTTTCATTAGTCTGCCCTAAGGCATTGCTCCCAACAGGCAAGTGCCATAAGGTCAGGTGATTTAGGGGATTTTAGTTTTGTTTGAGATGGGGGGGCTCTCTACATTGTCCAGACTGACCCGGAACTTATTCTGTAGACCACCCAGGTTGGCCTGGAACTCACAGAGATCCACCCACCTCTGCCTCCTAGAGACCTCCTTGCCTCTGCCTCCTGAGTGCTGGGGTCAAAGGCGTGTGCCACCACCTCCTGGCCATAGATTTGGGGGGTTTTAAAGCTGACAAAATACTGGAGTTGCAGCCAGAGGATGAGTGTGTGTGCTCTGGGGTAAGGCTGGGGTCTGTCTCAGGTCGATGCTGAGCGGAATCGGGCCCTTGCCAGAAGCACCGTGCTGCGGAACCACTGAGGCATCTCATCTGCCTGGGGTGGGGGAACTTGTTTGGGACTTGTTTCCTGTGCTGTAGGTTAACAGGAGAGCAGTTAACCTGCCTTCCCAACTGCAAGCATTGTGGCTCACAGGGAAAAGTTTCCTGACACTTGGGAGCCACAGTGGAGCAGCTCACAGCCCAACTCCAGAGAGAGGCTTCCCCAGCGCTCAGACCCGTTCTGCTAGGGGAGGGCTCCCCAGCAAATCCAGCTCTCCTCTGCTCCATTCGGGTGAAGGAAGTTCTCACCCAAACCTCATTCGAGAGATGCATTGGGAGGGAGGAACCCAGGAGCGTGGCTGCCTCTGCCAGGGTGGGAGCAGACAGTGTGGCAGCCACGCAACCAGAAGCTGCCCAGACACAGACAGGGTTTATATAGGGCTTCTTAGGGGGCGGAGTTTCTCCAGGGAGAGTTCCAGGGTGGGGATTGGTCAGATTTCAGTCCCTTGGTGAGGTCTCATGCTCAGAGATTGGTTTGTTTTCTGCTCAGGGGCGGGGCAGATTTGACTCTGTTTCATGACCAAAGTGTGTTTCTGTCACTCGTCCTTTTTAGTCTTTTAGCTCTAACTTTAGGACCAGGGCATATTCTTTTCACTGGCTGTGGTTCTGGGGACAGAGTTTCTTTGGCTCTGGTTGCAGGGCCAAAGTGTGTGTCTCTGACTCTGTTCAGAGTGTGTTTTTTTGCCGGCCCTTTCCCCCTACAGCAGTGAGGTCTATAACTTGGGGACGTCATGAATGAACGAGATCCTGCCTTGCCAGCATAGCACCCTTAGGCGTGGGTGGCTGGTGGGCCCAGCTGCTCCTGGAGGCCCCCAAGTCCTGGCTGTGCCTGTGCCGGGCCCTGGGAGAGTCACCACAAGGCAGCAGCTAGAGGCGGTGAGGGCAGGCTGTCTGGCAGGGGTCCTGTGACCCCCGGCTCATACGGGGTGTGACCGATGAAGTCGCCAGGGTCCCTCTGCCCAGGCCTGCCCGTCAACCCAGCACCCAGCTCTGCAGCTTTGGGGCCCCGCTGAGGTCCTCAGTCTGTGGGGACTGAGACTTGAGATCTGTACGCGTTCGGTGCTCAGCTCAGAGCTCACCAGGAAGGGCACGTGTGACAAATCCTCTGAGACTAGAGGATGCTTGAGGGCCAAGGCCCAGTGTCCCATAGCCAGCTGCGCCAGACTAGTGGCTCTGCCTCTCCGGGGCTGCTTCACCTTCCATGAAAGGAAGTAACGGCAGAATCCATCCAGCCCAGAGTGGCACAGCCCTTGTCCTCCGTCTCCCTGTAGTAGAAAACCTGTCATCAGCTGCCCCGGGAGCTGTGGATGGTGGGCTGGGGCTGCCCTGCTATCCACCCAGTCCTGGACTCCCGGCTCAGCACCCACCCCGGCCTCAGCTGCGTTACATAAACCTCGGTGTGGAGGAGCGGAAAAGCTGACCAGGGTGGGTGTGGAGGAATGGAGCCAGCCAGGTGTGGGGACACGTCTGGGCCGAGCCACCGGCACGTGGAAGGTCTGGCATCTCTTGAGCCGGTTGCTGCCAAGCCGGATTAGGCCCAGGTCCCAGCCCCTTGGAAAATACGGCCTTTGATGGGAGCGGAGGAGCCGTGGCAGCTGCATGGTTGATGGCACGCGGCCCTGGGTCACGTCTAGTGAACCACCAACCTGCCAGGGCAGGAACAAACAAGAGGCAGCCCTAGGCTCTGGCCTCACAGCAGTGGCCCCGGGTTCGAGTCCTGCTGTATCTGGCAGAGCTTCCCAGCAGCCTTCACCCTCTCTCCCCTCACAGGCGCCATAGGCTCAGCTTACAGCGTCGTGCTCAACCCGGCAGATTCCCACCTGGAAGCAATGGCCAGGGCTGGCCGGTACACGTTCACTGCAGGTGAGCATCCTGGCAACAGGGACACGGGCCGTCCTTGATAGGTGATAGGCCGCTACTGAGCGGGTGTCCCAGGAGACTGACCCTGGGCTGGCTGGGGGCTTGGAAGCAGAGTGGTGGTACCCAGCCATGTCTACACAGACAGCCAGGCACAAGCTCAGTGCTCTCGGTTTCCCCACCTCCGACTCCACTTCGCCTTACAGCTGCCGTGGGAGCCATGTTTGGCCTGGCCACCTGTGTCAGTGCCCAAGTCCGAGAGAAGCCGGACGACCCCCTGAACTACTTCATCGGAGGCTGTGCTGCTGGCCTGACCCTGGGAGCACGCGGTGAGTGACCCCCCCAGGGCAGTGCATGACGCCTAATTGCTTCACCCCTCCCTCTTTGTCCCATACTCGATAGAGGCAGTTGCTGCCGTTTCGGCACCAGGCAGCCCTGTGACAGTCACGGGTGCTGCAGGCCCACGGGCCCTGCCCTGACTGCTGCAGCATCGTGCCTGGTTCCGCCCTGCCCCAGGGCCTTTGCACAGGTTGTGCCCTCCACATAAAGCCCCCCTGGATGGATGTGTGAGGGGTGACCCTGGCTGTCCTGCATATCACAGTTAGTCAGTGGCTGTCTCCAGGGTGGGGGGCAGCCTGGGTCCTG